TCATTCATTGTATTGGGACGCTGGACCCGTTTTCCAGTAGGTGCAGCTCCCCACCAATAGATGGAGCCTTCGACGCAGGGGCCTACTTACCGGGGATGCTCTTATCACCTCGTTAAGTAGGTTTCCCGTACACGAAGTTTCGCCCGAAAAAAAAAAAAAAAAAAAAAAAAAAAAAAAAAAAAAAAAAAAAGATATTAAACTGATCAGAACAGATACTACACTTGATCTTAGCCAAAAGGCCGAGAAAGGTATTAGGTGCATACATTTGTTCGTAGTGATCGTTTCGGGAGAAATATTGAAAAAATAAAAAAGGGAAAATTCCGGCAGGAGATGGTCACATCCTTCTGGATTTTTCCGCTTTTTTATTTTCTTTTCGGTGTCACCAGTAGTCCCAAAAGACTTTCGGTGAAAAACTGCTACCCGTCCCCCGAAATAAACCAACGGGCTTAGCTCAGTTGGTACACCCATAAACTGTTGAGATGCAGACCTGAATTCAAATGCAGATGGAAGGAACAAGAGAGGTACGGGAGGGGGAGGTAAAATCACATCAGGGAGAGTAGGTGGTTTAAACTTTAAGGCCCTTTCAAACCCTTTAAACCTGTTTATACCCTTCCAAGTTCCAACCCCATAGTGAGACCATCAATTGCAAGCATAAGACAGGATTAGGCCACATTTTTCCTCGAGATTAAAACAAAGAAACGGAAAAAAATGAACCTCATTTTTTGGCTCGCCTGGGTGACCCAGGCAGGTGGGTCCAGGCTGTGCATGCCTGCGCAACCCTGATATCCCTGAGCGGCAGCCGCCCCTGGACGACCACAACAGCCCAGAGCAAACTCCTTTTGCCCTCCAAAACGGTGCAAACCGAGTGCACATGGTTGCCCCCCCCCCGGCTCCTTGCTGTGACCTGTAGGCCTGAACATTCAGGTTGGGAAGCCCAGATTCAGCGCCGTATACCTTTCTCGGCCTTTTGGCTAAGATCAAGTGTAGTATCTGTTCTTCTGATCAGTTTAATATCTGATCCGTGGTCCATCGGACCACACGATATTAACTTAATTTTTCTGGGCTAGGGAGGGGTCGTACGGGTAAGCTTGCTTGCTCGATCTCTTCAGCGTTGCCTCTGTATTGCACTGCAGCAGAGTGCGGCGCGGCCCTCCTCCCCTCCGGGGGAACAAAAAAAAAAAAAAAAAAAAAAAAAGATTCAGCGCTGTAAACACCAAGTTCAACAAAACAGGTTCGGATTCCCAAGGTATTCCTGGATCCAAAGGTATTGTTGGTTGAAAGGCCCATTTCCTGTGTGTGTTTGAAAAAAAAAAAAAAAAAAAAAATCCCCACTTCCTTGCTCTTTCAATTTCGTCCGTCTCTCATGCTTGCCGGTGATAAGCAACCGGATGGATGCCGCCAAGAACAGATGGGGCATATGCGGTGTGGTGTGTTTGAACAAAAAAAAGGTGGTCCCACTTCCTAGGGATCTCCCGGGGCCTGCCTGGTCCCATTAGCACAGAGGGTTAGATTTAATTCGGGAATCTGGACGTGTGTTGGTGGACAGATGCAGAAAAGCTGGTCAATCTCAATTTTCCGCATCTTTCCACAAACATGTCCAGATTCAGGAATTAAATCCCACCCTCTTTGCTAATGGGACCAGGCCCCCACAGTCCGAGTCCAACCTCTACAACAACCTGGGCATTACTGACAAAAAGAAAGAAGAAAAACTTGACTGCCCCCAATCCATACACTGGAGGGGCCGTGGATACCACCGCTTTGTTTATTCTTTTCAATCCAAGCTCAGAGCATTTAACCACGGTGGCCCCAAGGTAGCAGGTTTGGGCCCTTTGGTTCTGAGGCTCCATCTATTGGCGCCGAGCTTCACCCGCTGGCTGGCAATCGGAGTCAGCGTCACATATACTAATTGGTCCCACTCCTCCTGATTTACAGACACAGAGGCTACCACCAAATTTCATGTTGGCCCACACATATATAACAAATGGTCAGAAGCCGAGTTACAGCGCAAAAAACAAAACGACAAATCAACCCATAGTTACTACCACTGAGTTCCACGATGGCCCACATGATATTTTATCATGCAGGCAGGCCACCACAACAACCAGTGGTACTACCTTGGAGGTGCCTTGTAGACTTGTACCCTGGCAGACCGACAGGAGGCATTGGCAGCTTATTAATGAGCAGGACGAACAAAATGATCCCAGCCATCGTGAACTCGGAGAACAAAGTCGGCAACAAAAAAAAAAAAAAAAAAAAAAAAGTGCCCAATCAGACGGCAGTAAAAGGAAGGGAAAAAATGGACTGGGTCACTAGGCTGTCCAGCTCAGACCAGGTTACCAGGCTGTCCCGGGCCCAGCCCCACCTATGCGGGAAATTAAGACCAAACAGGAAAGGCCCAAGGAGCCCCTAACAATGCTTTTAGCCTCTAAGTAGCACAGTTTTCCTTTTAAAATGGAGCCTGGATCTGAGCTTGCTACCAAAAAGTGTACGTGGACTCTAAAAGGGGTCAGACGGGTGTAGACGGGGTCAAAAAGGGACAAAGGGGTATGAAAAGAATCAAGGGTTCCAATCTGCGCTGCGCTAGATGACGGGCGAAGCGCACATGCGCACGCGCGCGCAGGCATGCGCCCACGCGCTGCGCCCACGAATGCGGGTTGGGCTGGGCCAGGTGCTCTGGATGCGCCGGTTGTTTTATTTTTATTTCTCTTCCTATTTTATTTTTTCTTTTTTTTTGTTGTGACATGTGAC